AGACTCAATACCCTTCACAATAGCGAGAAAGAAAATAAAAAACCTAGGTATATATTTAACTAATGAGGTAAAAGACCTCTACATGGAGAACTTGAAACATTAAGAAAGGAAATAGCAGAGGACATCAACAGATGGAAAACCATAATATGATCATGGATTTGCAGAATCAATATTTTGAAAATGTTCCGGTTTTATATCTGGGCTCTCCGTCCTGACCAAAGTTCTCTATCCATGTTCTTGTGCCAATACCATGCTATTTTGGTTAGTATAGCATTGCAGTATAGCGTAATGTCTGGTAGATTGATGCATTCCAATTTCTTCGTTTGCTTAAGACTGCTTTGGCTATATAGTTCTATGATTCTATATGAAGCCTAGAATTATTTTTTCTAGAGATGTGAAAAATGATGTTGGCATTTTAATAGGGATTGCATTGAATCTGTAGATCACTTTGGGTAGTATAGGCATTTTAACAATGTTGAGTCTGACGATCCATGAGCATGGTATGAATTTCCATCTGTTTACGTCCTCTGCTGTTTCCTTCCTCAGTGTTTCATAGCTCTTCCTATAGAGTTATTTTACCTCCTTAGTTATGTATATATTACTAGGTACTTTATTTTCTTTATTGCTACTGTGAAGGGTATAGGGTTTTTTTATTTCATTCTCAATTTTCTTTTATTGGTGTATAGGAATGCCGCTGATTTTTGTGTATTGATTTTGTATTCTGAGATTTTACAGAATTCATTTATCAATTCCAGGAGTGTCTTGGTTGAATCCTTGGGATTTTCTAAATATGCTATCATATCATCAGCAAAGAGTGAGAGTTTGATCTTTTCTGCCCCTATTTGGATGCCTTTAATTCTACTTTCATGTCTGATTGCTAAAGCCAGGACTTCCAGCACTATGTTGAATAGAAGTGGAAATAGTGGGCAGCCTTGCCTGGTTCCAATTCTACGTGGGAATGCTTTCATAGATTATATCTTAGATCTTTGTGGCATCTGTTATAATATCTCCATTTTTGTTCCTGATGGAGCTTATTAGAGATATCTCTTTTCTCCTTTTTGTTCATATAGCCAAAGGCGTGTCAATTTTGTTTATTTTTTGAAGAATATAGTATCACGTGTAAAATCTTTAAAAAGGACAAATACTTATGCTATAATAATACTTGGTTGAGTTACTGGGTAGAGGTATATACAAAAAGGACAATCTAATCTTTCTGAAAAGACAGACCTTCCTTATAAGCGAACATAAATCATTGAAATTCTTTAACGTAAAATGATTTCAGTGACTCTTTTGACAGCTTTTAGTGTGCCTGTCACCAGAATATGTTTATTTACCTAGAGTTAAGTTTTTATCCTACATGCCCCTCCCAGTGACCCCCATCTTTCCATTTCCAACCTATATAACTCCTGGTGCCCCTGTGTGTACCTCATAATTTAGCTACCGCTTATTAGTGAGAACATACGGTGGTGTTTGGTCTTCCATTGGATAACTTCCATAGAAATGGTCCTCATTCCATCCAGGTTGCTGCAAGAGACATTATCCTCATTTTTTATGACTGAGTAGTGCTCCATAGTGTCGTATATCACCACATTTCCTTTATCCGCTCGTGAACTGTTGGTTCCTCCCTTTGCAATTGTGAATTGTGCTGCGATAGACATTTAGTGCAGTTGTCTTTCTTTTTATAAAATGACTTGTGTTCTTTTGGGTAGATACCAGCAGTGGGCATTCCTCAATCAAATGGTAGGTGTCATCTAGTTCTTTGAGGACTCCAGACTGTTTATAGGGTTGTACTAATTTGCAATCCACCAAGCAGTGTACAAGCAATTCCTTTCTCTCTGCTCCGCCAGCATCTATTTTTTGCTATTTATATGCTTTGATATGTAATATGGTGTCTCATTGTAGCTTTAATTTGCATTCCTGATACTTTATCAATGTTAGCATTTGTTCATATGTTTGTGTGCCATTTCTCTATCTTCTTTAGGAAAACTGTCATATCTTTTGCCTATTGATGTTGTGATAATATGATTTGATTCATTATGTTTGATCCGCATTTCAGAAATAATTTGTGGTCAATTTGTATACTTTATATTACTTTAATTCAAATCATAATTTATATAGGCTGTTTTCAAGTTCTGGTATAAGTGTATTAATGACCGAAAAGATTTCTATGGCAGTTTTCCTTTTTATAAAATAGATTTAATAGAAATACCTGAAACTTATAAAGTTTGGAAAGGATCATTTAAAATGGCATTTTGCATAACGATTCAAACTTAAATTTATTGTTTTTGAGTTTTTCTAATTATCATTTAAACTTCAAACTTGGTAGTCAATCCTTTAAAATATCATGTTTTGTTCCTCTCCGTTTTAGTTAATTACCATACTGTGTTTTTATTAGTCTCTGCGGGAGTTAACTACATCACCAGTTTTAATACTGTTCATTTACAATAATATTTCCAGTGTGTGCTTTCACTTTTTTTTAACATTGCACTGGCTCTGTATAGTTATTGTTATTTATCACATTTTTATATTCCCATGTAATATTATTCTAAATTCATTCCCTACATTATATCTTACTGCACCATTCCTTGTATTTTAGCGTCTGCTTACTTTTATAAATTCCGAGAGACTGACATCTAGCACACATATGTCAGCTCTCCGACTTGTGATAATTGACTTTTCAGCTGTGTAATTTCACCTAAATCTCTTGAGTCACACAGAAAGAAAATTGGATATGGAGAATTTCCATTGCTTTTTAGTCTAAACTATATCAATATTCATTAGTAATATGATCTAGTTTTAGTTTTATATTTTTAAAAAGTTTTTAATTATACTATTTCAAAAATATTATAACCTAATGAATCCAAAGATAACCACTTTGAGTAAAACATTCATATTTTTAAAGATATTTTGAGATCAATTATTTAAGTTGATCAAAATGTCTGAAAATGTGTATAAATTCAAGTTCAATATTTGTGAATTCAGTCAAGCTTGTTTTGTTGTATGGTTGGAATTTTGAATAACAATAAATTTAATCTATGTTGGTAAATAACTATGCTATAAATCTATGTTGGTTTAAATAACTAAAAATTTAACCTAATGATAACCACAAAAAGTGTTTAATTTCAACTTTGGCAAGGGAATTTTGCCCATTGATTTATAATTCTATCAAAATTCTC